AGCAGGACGCTGCCGTCCAACTTGAAGGCCACCACCTGTGGGCAAGGCCGAGTGCACACGGGGGCTGAGAAGGGCCTTGGGGCCCCCGGGGGTGCTGGGAGGGCAGGGGGCAGGGGCACCCACGTTCTTCTTGTTGTCAGCCAGTAGCACCACCGTCTTCAGGCAAGTCTGCTTGTCGGTGGAGCCGCAGGGGGTCAGCTCGCCCAGGACGGCATAGGAGTCATTGTGGGTGTCCTGCAGGGAGGGCAGAGGGCGTTGCAGCCACACAGCAGCTGGGGCAGGGGTCCAGCTCCACCCACATGCCCACCCGGGTGCCGGCCACCTTGGTCAGCACGTAGTAGCAGTCCCCGTGGAACGTGTACTTCCGCTCGTCGAAGGTGGTGATGTGGGCACCGCCCTCCAGGGCACATGTCCTGGGGCACTGCAGGTCCTGGCACACCCAGCGGCTGGCGTTGCAAACACTGTCGGGCAACAGGGCCAGCCTCAGGCTCGACCGCCACCCCTGCCCGTCAGGACCCTCAGCCCACCTGGACCCCAGCCCACCTGGACCCCAGCCCGTCAGGACCCCAGCCCGTCGGGACCCCAGCCCATCGGGACGCCAGCCCACCTGGACCCCAACCCGTCGGGACCCCAGCCCGTCGGGGCCCAAGCCCACCTGGACCCCAGCCCACCTGGACGCCAGCCCACCTTGACCCCCGGCCCCCACCCCGTCGGGCCCCCAGCCCCCCTGGACCCCAGCCCGTCGGGACCCCAGCCCACCTGGACCCCAGCCCATCGGGACCCCAACCCGTCGGGACCCCAGCCCACCTGGACGCCAGCCCACCTGGACCCCAGCCCGTCGGGACCCCAGCCCACCTGTACCCCAGCCCGTCAGGACCCCAGCCCACCTGGACCCCAGCCCGTTGGGACCCCAGCCCCGGCACCCACCACTGCTCGCAGTTGTTGGTGATCTGTTGGCCAGGCGCGTACAGGTGTCCGTGCAGCTTGCAGTGACACTGGTTCACAGGGATGCAGCCACCACCCTTGATGTCATCGTACACAGTGCCTGGGATAGCGTGGGACATGTTCCGTTCAGCTGGCCCGAACAGTGCCAGAGTCCCCCCGGCGGGGCTGCCTTTCCCAGTGCCACAGCCAGGGGCCGGCCTCCCTGAAGGGGCACTGCCAGCCAGGCCTCCCAGCCACAGACACCTATGGTCCTTTGGGGGACAACTGTGGTCCCCACACTGTATCTGAGGGACCTGCTTCCAGGCTCAGAGCCACGGGCCAGGCAGGAGGAGGTCTATCCACGGGTGATGAGCAGGAAGGTGACACTGCTGTATTTTGGGGGATCTTCAGCCCTTGTATCCCTTCTACCTGGACCTTGTCCCCTGATGTCCCTGCAGGGCCCTGAGCTGTCACTCTCCCTCAGCACAGCTGAGAGCCGAGGCCCAAGCAGCGAGGTGGCCGTCCCACCAGGCACAGGCGGCGGGTGGCGCTTCAGGGCAGCGCCCTCCACTCCGCTGCCTGCCTGCGTCCCCAGCACTCACCTTCTGGGCAGAAACAGCCGTCCATGCGATGTTCCTCACACAGGCTGCTGACCTCCAGGTGTGAGCAGGTGTCCATGCAGGGCGAGCCGCTCTCCAGGTAAACCATGGTCCTGGGGCAGCTCTTAGCTGGACAGGCAAAGGCAGGCCCCTGAGCCGAGGGGCAGAGCGCAGCGGGCACCGCAAAGGGTCCGTGCCGGCCTCGTGCCCCAGCTGAGGTGGGCACAGCGTGGCTCCCACTCCAGAGTGCAAAGGGCACCGTGCTCCCCGTGGATCATGCCCCACGTGCCCCCAGCTCCTGGCCGCCCAGCACTTACGGCAGAGCGTGGCGGTCCTCCAGTTCCGCGGCCTGCCACCGGCGTGCGAACACTGGCGGGAGAACTCGGCGATGGTGCTGCAGACGCAGGAGGTGCCATGCGGGCACTGGCAGCGGTCCTGCATGCAGGCCTGCACGTGCAGCTCCAGCGGCACCAGATCCCGGCAGTCCTCGAAGGCCGTGTCTGTCAGCAGCCTCTCGCACTCGGCGCGCTGGCGGGCAGTGGGTGGGGCTGCTCATGGCTTCCTCTCCCCGCCGCGCCACCGGGGCGGGCGCGGGGTCCCCAACAGAGGCCAGCGGGCACGGCTCTGGGGGGAGGTGCAGGCTCTGTTCCCACCGGCCCCTCCCCCCCGAATGGCCAGCGACTCACATGCTCAGAGCAGGACGCGGGGGTCGGCACCTCCTGGGGGCCATCGCACACCTCCCCAGGCTTGTTGATTTTCTGCATGTTCCCAAACTCGATGGGACTGAAGAGCACGCCTGGGGGGGGGCGCAGCCGTTCAGCGGGGCTGGGCAGGGAGTCTGCCCGCAGCCCAGCCACCAAGGCCCGAGGAGGCCCTCACCATCGGAGAGGAACTCAGAGTAGGTCTGCAGACCGTTGTAGTCACCGCAGAGGCCACACGTGTGGTTCCGGAACTTACTGTCCAGCTCCAGCTGTCCGGGGAAGGGAGACAAGTGAGCAGGCTGTGGGGCAGCCAGGTCAGCCTCAGAACCCTGTCTGAATGGGTGTCAGCCGTGGTGGGAGAGCTGGGGTTAGCTGGGGGGAGGGGGCGGGGGAAGGGGCAGGGCCAGCCCATCACCCCGGGCCAGAGGGTCCCCTCACGGGGTGGACCGCCTGACCCCCACTCTGCCTCCAGCCTCTCCGCCCACCCAAAGGCCACACAGCACCCCAGCCCGCCCGGACACCCTTTTGGCCCCCTGGGGTCCCCGAGGCCCGTGACACACCATGACCGAGTCCTCCCGGTTCCACATGAGCGTGAGGCCAGCACGGGAATAGACCTTGGTGTAGGCATCACTCTTCTCGATGAGCAGCCCCGGGCTGTAGTGCGGGCTGCTGACGCTAGGGGATGGGCACCGGGGTCACGCCGGCCCACACAGCACCCACGTGGCAGAGGGGCTGAGGCTGTGGGCGTGGGTGGGGTGGCCGGCTCCCGTCCAGGAGCCACAGGCAGCGTGGCCACCCTCTGGGGGCACTCGAGCCGTGGCCCAGCCCCTGTCCATCTGCCTGGCTAGGTCCTCTGGGCCGAGCCACACCCGCCAGCCCAACGCCCTCTCCACACCCCCTCCCTGGGCTCTGCTCTGGGCAGGGCCCCCAGGGAGCCCGTAAAAGCCCTGGGAGGAGGAAGGACCAGACTGGAGAAGCCCCACACACCACATCGCCCAGGGCAGGCGCTGTGCCCATCCCACACTGCCCCTGTGGGCCCTATTCCCACCCCCTACTCTGAGCCTGGGCTTCGGGGCATCAAAATCCCTTGCAGCAGGGGAAGGGCACACCCTGCAGGTGCCCCTGCACCCCACCCCCCGCCCGCCCACCCGGGGCAGGAATGAGCTCAGGGCCCCATTGTTCCTGAGACAACGCGGGACAACGTGGGGGTAGGAGGAACGGGCCTCCCGTGGGCTCCTGTAACCCTAGCCTGGGCTGCCAGGCCACACTGACCAGCACGGCCCGGCCCAGAGCCTGGTGGGCTGCCAGCAGGGCGGCTGCAGGAGACTCACTGGTTGAGTAAAGCTCCCTCCCCAACACGCTGCTTCGCGGCCGGCCGGGGGCAGTGGCGGGGAGGTGGCGGGGGAAGGGAGGGCGAGCGAGGGCACCGCCGGGTCGCACTTGCTCACAGGACGTGGGAAGGGACACTGCTTGACCACTCACACGGCGCCGTTCACCACAGCGAGCTGGCTGGTGAGGTAGATGGCATCACCCTTGACGGTCAGCAGGATGTACTCGACCTGGGGGCGGCCCCCACTGCGGCCGGGGCCCCGTTTCAGGTGCACAGCGAACTCCCGGTAGGCGTCCCGGCAGTCAGAGGCAAAGTTGTAGTCGCACAGCCCGGGGAAGCGGAAGACGTCTCCGTCGAAGGTCTTGTAGTGGGAGTCGCCCCACGTGCTGCAGACGCTGTGGCCGTGGTTCCGGGTCCTGCCTTCTGGGGCGCAGCGGGTGGGCACGTGAGCAGCCCACGTCACCAGGAAGCCCGTCTGTCTGAGGCTCCGGCCTGGCAGCGGCCCTCTGAGGACCCTCCAGAGGCGCCCCGCAGCAGCTCAGAGCCCGTCGGGGTCTCGGCCCAGGGCCCAGGGAGGGTCGTCCTGCGGGGGTCCTCTGCTGGACACTGGCCACCCCACCCACGCGATCTCAGCCCCCTGAAAGGGCGTCTCCAGCTGCCGCGCCCTCCCACCCTGACCCTGCGGGGGATGCAGTCATGTGCTGAGCGGGGAGCAGGGCCAGAGGGGCTGTCGGGCTCCCTGGCGCCCTGTCAGCCTGGCCCAGCTCCCCGCCCCAGTCTCCACCACACTCCGTCCATCGACACCCCAGCCAGCACCCCAGCCCCACTCCAGCTGCCCCTCATCCCGCAGAAGATCTGTGCCAGACCCCTCAGAGGGAGCCTGCGTCAGCTTCATCCATATGGGGTCAGCTGCCCCTTCCCCCAGCCCCGCCACCGCCCTGTCCCCAGATGCCCTGCTGGGACAGAGGTGTCCCCATCCTACGTGTGCATGGTCTTCTCTGGCTGAAGCCACCCCTTGAGCAGAGACCCAAACAGCTGGCTCTGCTGAAGGGCCCAGCTTGGTCTTGACCCCCAGTCCCGGTATCAGGATCCCTGATACCGGGACTGGGGGCCTCCCCTGGCCTGGCCCCTCCTGGCAGGCCCCTGCCTCCCCCAGGCCCACAGACAGCCACCCAGACTGGTGCATCCGCCTGGGACTGTCCCCTGGATACACACTCTGGCCAGGCAATCACCTTCAGAAGAATTGGTGGGAACCCAAGACCCCTTTCCTCCCTCCCTCCCTCCCTCCCTCTCCCTCCCTCCCTTCCTTTTTCTTTCTTTCTCTCTATCCCCCTAGTTTCCTATATATATTATTAATTACCCCAAACTCTTTAGTAGTTGCCTGAATCTTCTCTTAATATATTCTTCATGTCAGATATTCTCTCAGATTCACCTTTTTGGAGAAATCCAAGAACCTTCTGACGTGCTCCTTTATGGAGTGGTTGCTCTTTACACTTGGTGTATAACTGGAGTCACCCATTGCCATCATCTTGTTTTGAAGGTTCATATAGATTATCCACAACCCTCCCTTCCTCCCTCCCTCCCTCCCTCCCTTCCTTCCTTCCTTCCTTCCTTCCTTCCTTCCATCCCTCCACCCAAAGTCAGCAGGGGTGGGGCTGCAGGAGGTCTGGCCCAGGCTGTCCACCCCAAAGCCCGGGCCGAGGGAGACACCTCTACCCCAGGCAGGACCATGTGCCCTGGGCTGCCCGGCCTTCCTGCCCACACCCTCTCACCTCTCCGGAGCTCTGAGCCCCCGGCCCAGGTCAGAGTCAGGCAGAGGGCCACCAGGAGGGCTAGTGGCAGCCCCATGGTGGCCAGAAGCGTGGTGTGGGAGAGCAACCGGGGCAGGGGTCTGGGCCTTATATGGCCCCACAGAGCCGTCAGAGGGTGGGGAGGGCAGGGGAGGGGCGAGGGTTGGGTGGGGCACCTGCCAGATTGTCAGGAACGCAGCTGCGGGGGCTCCGAGGGCCCTGGTGGGGAAATATTGATTCAGGTTATCTGAGGTTTATTTTTTATTGCTCCCGGGGTAGAGCTGGCTCTGCCCAGGATGTGGCAGCCGCAGTTACCCAATTCCAACACACACCCAAGGCGGACCCCCGTCCCTCCCAGCCACTAGCAGAACCAGGCCCGGGAGAGGGAGGACCTGGCCCCGCATTTTTTTAATGTGGAATCTCATTTTTTTTTGGCTGCGTTGGGTCTTCATTGCTGCTCGCGGGCTTTCTCTAGTTGCGATGAGCGGGGGCTACTCTTGGTTGCGGCGCGCAAGTTTCTCATTGCGGTGGCCTCTCTCGTTGCGGAGCAACGGCTCTAGGCGCGCGGGCTTCAGTAGTTGTGGTGCACGGGCTTAGTTGCTCCATGGCATGTGGAATCTTCCCAGACCAGGGCTCGAACCCGTGTCCCCTGCATTGGCAGGCGGACTCTCAACCACTGCGCCACGAGGGCCATCCGGAAGCACGTTCTGGCAGCCAGCAGGCTCCCTGAACCCCACCCCACCCATTCAGCATCTCTGGCACGGCGAATGTCAAATGGGGTGCCTCCCAAGGGGCCCCAACGAACTACTGCCTGGTGTGGGCTCCCACTCTGGGGGCCTGTCGGAGACCTCCTGGACCTCAGCCTCCCCAGCCAGGGGCCCGAGCTCCAGGTCAGGGTAAGGGGGCCTCTGCCCTCCCTGAACCCCGCTGCCGAGGCAGGGAGCATGGGCTCCTGTGGGGTCCAGGGGGTGCCCCATTTCCGCACCAATTCCTTCCCATAGCTCGTTGAGCTCGGTCAGGGGCCCCCGGCTCCGGCCCACCCTCTAATCCCCTCCTTTCCCAGGCCAAGCCAGCCTCTGGAATTACATGTAATTGGAACTTGGGGAGCCCAGCCAGGGGATGCTTTAACAGAATCACATCCTCTGGGACACAGGGCACCTGGCTCGAGGCTGAGAGTAGCCGTCCCCAAGGGGAATGGAGCCGGGGCCGGACACGGACACGGCCTGGCAGGCACAGGCCCGGCCCTGCAGCCTCCCCAGGATGGTGGGGAGAACCAGGGCAGAGGGTGGGGCAGCCACGCAGGTGCTGCCGGGCCGGGCCTCTGGTGGGAAGAGGGTCCTGCCCCAGAGAGGAACTATGGCCTCCAGGGCATCTCAGACCCTCCAAGTGAGCCCGAGCATGTCTGGAAATGCCTTGAGGATGTGGCATTTGAGCTGCGCTGGCCCCAAGCCTTAGCAACCTCTGGGTGGGCACCCATGTCGCTGGTGGGTAAACCGAGGTCGGGGCCTCCCTTCCCTGCATTCCTCCATTCTGAAAACAAACGTGCATCTTGAATTCGGCTTTTGACTTTGGCCAGCGCAATTGTGGAGAACAGCTCTGATGGTCGGGGTGCCTCGGTCTCCAACCTCAGGGCCCCTGAGTTTCAGGGGCGAGTGGGAGAGGTTCATCTCAACTGTTACTCTGGACAAGGGGGCTGCCCAGTGGTGGGGGCCGTGGGACCCTGAGCCCTGCTTCCCTGAGTCTGGCGCCCCTGCAGAGGCAGTGACCAGAAGCCAGGGCCTTGGCCTGGCACCTCCCGGGGGCCCTTCCTCTGCAGACAGGCCCTCCACACCACGACAACAGCACCCAGGGCCACGAGCTCTGCTCACAACACCTGATGATTCCCGGGGTCCCCGCGGAGCCAAGACATCAAAGGACGGGTACCCCCAGGGTCAAAGAGAGTGACTGGGAGCCATGGTCCCCAGGCCTGACCCGCCTGGGGGCCTGAGGAAAAGCCCCTTGTCCTGTCCTGCTGTGCTGCCAGCCCCAGGCCCAGGGGCCCAGAGATCCAGGCACGTGGCGGACTGCGTTTGGCTCGAGCCAGGAGGATCAGGGATTAGGAAACCAGAGCAGCTGGACAAACAGGCCCATTGTACCACCTTCCCCGAGGGGCTTGCATGGGCTGGTACCGCGCCCTGGGGAAACCCAAGGACAGGGCCCCCTCCGCGGCCCCCAGGGGCAGTGATTTTCCATGCCAGGCTCCCTCTGCCCTGGTGGGAATCAGAGATTCCTGGCCAGAGACAGGACGCGCAGCACAGCGAGTCTGAGAAGGTGGGGTTGGGTCCCCCCTGGGCCTGAGAAGGTCATCCCCATGGAGCCTCTGGGTGGGGAAGCAGGTGTCCCAAGGCCCACACCCCTCTTGGCACAGACGCAGGTTCTTGGGTGGGACCCATGAGCAGTGCCATCAGGCGCTCAGACTGGGGTGGGCGCGGAGAGGGCAGGAGGGACGGGGCTGGCGGGAGGAGGTGGGGAGGGCTTGGGGCCCCCATGCGACCTCTGGTCAGTCTCCCGGCCGCTGGGCAAACTCAGTCATGGCGGGTCCCTAGCAGGTAAGTTCCTGGAAAGTACCTGACTAGGACACCTGGCTGCTTAAACATGTCCATCCATCCATCACTTTAACTCTTGTGGATGCAGGAAGAGGCCCCTCGGCCTGTGACACTCCACTCAGTGCGCTGGAGCCCCTTTCCCGCCCTTCTGGGACCCCCACCCTTCACTGAGGCAGAGTTGAGGAAACTGCCCAGCGTCCCTCTGTAGCAAGGCTGTGACGCCCAAAGGCCACCAGGACACCACTCTGGCCAGCCACAGCCGGGGGCTGCTGAGGGGGCTGACTGCCTGCCCACCAGTCAGGTGGACCCCCCCCCAGGGCACAGACCCCCACACACACACGCACACTGGCCTGGGCAGCCCTGGGCCTCGCCCCACCAGGCCCCACACCCAGCAGTGTTTACCCCAACAGGACACTGTTCCCAGGACTACAGTCTCGGGAATCACAGTCTTGACCACAGGGGGGAGGCCACAGAGACGTCACGAAACGCAGCCTAAAACAACTGGCCCCTGCGGTTTGTCCACAAACCCTGCCTCATCAGGAAGTGGGAGGGCGGGGACCGGGGGCAGCAGGGGAGGGCGACTCATTAGGGAGTGGGAGGGAGGAAGGGCGGAGGGGTCTGTAAAAGAACAAGGATCTGTATGTGTAGACCCTTCTCAGGCCCTGGGCCCAACCCCGGGCCCTCGGCTCCGGTGGTCCAGCCTCGGTGGGTAGATGGACGGTGTGTCCAGGGAAGCCGTGGGTTCCTAGCTCTTGGGACAACCAAGGGAGCCCACAGCCCCAGCCAGCCACCGGACAGAGTCCCCGGTAGGTAAGTGTCTGAGGACTCGGAGGCAGGCAAAGAGAACACCAGCCATGCCCACCACCTCCCCATGTGCTCCCTGAGGCAGTGGAAAGGGTAACTCAGACCTGGCCAGCACCCTCAGAGGATCTGAAAGACCTGGGGGTGTGCAGGCCCAGGCCTCATGCCACCTCCCCTGGCCTGCAAGGGTTTACAGTAGGACATGACCTATCTGCCCCTGCCATGCTTGAAGAGGAGGTGGGTTAACACACAAAGGTGTTTGTTCTCGAGCAAGTGGGGCAGGACCAAGTCAGCAGGCTCTGCTCCACAGAGCAGGCAGGCATGGGCCCGGCCTCCTTGGGGGTAAAGGGCCACTGCACCTCCGGAGACCAGTCACCTTCCAGCAGTCAGCCCCGCCTCGAGACCTGGTCCTTACACTGACCATTTTCCTCACCAACCTGGCTGCACTGTGTGACCACTGCTGGCCTTCAGGCTGTGAGCACCTTGAGGGCAGCAGCCTATGTGGGCTCCTCTGTGGGCTAGCATCACAGTAAACACTCAATAACTTTGCTTCTGGGTGGGTAGGTATGTGGCTAGATGGATGGGTGGCTAGATGGGTGAATGAGTAGATGCCTAGGTGGGTAAATGATGGATGGATGGGGGGGTGGATGGATGGATGGGTGGATGGATGGATGGGTGGGTGGATGGATGGGTGGGTAGATGGGTGGATGGGTAGATGGGTGGATGGATGGATGGATGAGTGGATGGGTGCATGGATGGATGGATGGCTAGATCGATGGGTGAATGAGTGGACAAACAAACAAAATCTCTAGGAGGGGTGGGGTGTGCCTTTTGTAGTAGCTCCACAGGGCTCCCACCTCATGAGGGTTCATTGTGTTTGGGCAATGGCCAGGTACTCAATCACCCCCCTTATCATTAAAGTCCTCCACAACCTTGGGAGGCAGGTGCTCACACTGCTTCAGTCTAGAGACAAGGAAACCAGTGATCGGAGCAGGTGAAAGAGCCCCCTGAGCTCGCCCAGCCAGAGGCCACCCACGGCGGTCCTCTCTGCCCCCAGCCCACGCTGTCCACCACTCGGCAATTGTGTGACCATTTTTCAAGAAGGTTTGACTGTTGCTCTTTGTGGAAAGCAGTATGAGTAACAGAAAAACAGGCTCCTGGGTGGTGTCACAACCCCAGGGGAGGAATCTGCTTCTCCTGCCTTCCTGGAGTGGTTCCCCAAGGACAGAGCACCTCCTCCCACGCCCCGCTTTTCCTGCAGCCTCCGCCAGTGAGGCTGATTCATCCATTTGCAATACAGTTAGATTGCTTTGTCACATTTCTGCACGCCATCCTGGGATCCCCCAACCTCCTAATTAGCTCTTGTATTTTGCATGCATTAAGGTTCACTATTTGTGCTGCAACGTTCTATGGGTTTTGACAAATACATAGTGTCATGAACCCCCATTATGTATCAAATCTCCCTTCACCTCCTCAACCCTCCCCACCAAAACCCCAGCAAGCACTGATCTTTTTCACCGTCGCTATAGTTTTGGCTTGAATATATTTTTATGATTAATTTTAGATCTCTAACTGCTAAATTAATTCTAGAACGTCATGCAGCCATTATAAATTATGGCTATGATATTCTGTTGCAAGAAAGAAAACACTTAGGATTCGCTGGTCTCGAAAA